CTTGGGTTCGAGTCAACATCTGTGTAGTGTGTGTAAATTTAGTATACTAACTATCTCCCCTCTCAATAAGAAATTTCCTTAAAAAAAGTGATAAAAAAAGAAGATAAAACATGGTTTGCAGTTGCCCGTAAAAGTATGAGACAATCACTTTCAAATCTCTAAGGCATTTTGGATATTTTTTTTACAAAAGAATTGTAAACCAGTTTTTCAAAACTGAGAAAAAAAAAACAAAACAAAAAGAAGAACAAAAACACCCAATTGACATACAGTCAAGGGGCTAATATATAGAGGGTGGGAGAGTTTGGTGAAACATTGATAATACCGAACTATACCTTTTGTGATACAGAAAAAATGAACAACAAAACCCTAAAAAGGGATTCTTGTAAACAATAAACCACAAGCTATTGCAAACAAGCAAAATTATGCGTTTGCGTTAGCAAAACTAATGAAATTTGATCGTGTGTCTTTTGAAATTGACTCTAAGGTGATCAAAGGGGCTGTTGGCAATAGAATCTGGACAATCTATCCCCTCATTCAGGAGATTAGGAAGGTCTCGTATGTCTTCCTTTGCTTGTTTCTTGATCCAACTATGTTTGTATTCCTTTGCTTTTGTCTCTGTTTTGCTCCTCCTCGTTTGGGTTGTTCAATGACATCAGATTTTGACCCCAAAAAAAAAGCAAAATCAATTTCACACTGTGCAAAGAGCATCCATAAAATCACTACTGTTGGGTGCTCAATTGGATTACAACCTGGGCTCCTTTTATTTTTTGTTTGTTTCAAAGACTCCTAATTTTTAATCATCGACAAAAACAATTATACACTCTGGAAAGAAAGAATATTTGTTACGAATCACATGGAAATAGTGCTCCACAAATTGGGCCCGTGAACCTCTTCTAGTCTAAAACGTAATTGATATAGGATCATGTGAATTCATGCCACAAATTTGGATGCAAACAAAACACAATTTGTAATTTGTTGGCTGAAGTTTTGATCCAACAAAAAGAACTAAACCACTTTATTCCTTTTCTTTTTATTGGGCAGATTGGAGGACAGTCAAAGACAAATCTCTCAGTTAAAGGCAGCTAGCCGACCGACCAAAGCTGCACTGGGGATTTTTTGGTGTTTTGAACACTATGATTTGCCTTTATGAGGTCAGTTTACTGTTTTATTATTACAAGGTTAAAGTAGAAGTCAAGGTACAGATTGACTTGAAACTGGCATGCTAAACTTTGCAATGGAATAGTCAAGTATATGTGTACCCAAAAAGAAAAAAAAAAAAAAAAAAGAATAGTCCAGTATGACTGCCAATTCCATGTTTTTTTTTTTCATTATTTTTGAATAGTCAAGTAAAGTAATATATATTGCCACTCGGGTCATACCATAGTGAAAAAATATGTTTGGCCTAAGATCAATGGTCTCAAGTTTGAAACCTTAAAGTACTAGTGTGTGCGTGACTAAATCCACCTTCCCCTTCCTGAGGAATATATAATTATTTTGCCCTTATACTCTTGGTTTACTTGAAAGAACACGAGTGACTAAGCAACATATGAAACATGTTATGTTAGGGAAATTATTTGTTTTCTCAATTGTTTTTGGTAACGCTACAATGTCACTGTTTCCACCAAAGTTGTTTATATAAAATCATTTTCATAAGTTGTTAGGGCATAGCTATATGGGAACATTGTCTCATTGTAGAAAAGGGTCCCAGATGACAAATGCTAGAAATCGCGTGTTGTTGATGGCAGACCAAAACCTACTACCATAAAACTTAAATCAGGTCATTTTCAAACATATAGTCTGCCTTCTCACGTTTGTAACTTTCTCGGAAGCTAGATTGGCCTAGAGATGTGAAAGAGCTTTTCTGCAGTATTGATTGATACTGTGAGATTAAGTAAGATGGTAATCATTGTTACTTCTCCCAGAATAATGTAGAAAAAGTTAGTCTGCACAATCCCATGTCACAGAGATTGCTTATGTAGCATTTCAGCAATCAAATGGCACAACAACCAGTTAGGATATTGACTTCTTTAGGGCCTTCTTCAACTTATTTATTAGAAAAATTGCATGATTAAATGAACTTAGTGGACTCAAAATTTCTTTAATCAGTTTAGGTGGTTTGGGGAAATACATATTGCACTCATGCAAAAAGGGTTAGGTCCAGAAAAAGGAGAAATTTGAAACAAAATTTGGTTGGTAATTCAGGCCAACAAGAGCAGAAATATCAATCCATCATATGTTATTCATATAATTAGACATCATTTTAGTAATTGAGTATAGCTTTTACTTAATTTGGTTTAAACAAAGTCATTAACCTCTTGCAACAAGGGTAGTAAAAATTTGAGTTTATTTGTAAGGGACTTGTAGCTCAGGTGATTAAGAGCAGTTACTCTGCACCGAGGGTTCGAATTCCCCTTCCTCCATTATCGCTTGTATAAAAAAAAACAAGAGTTTTTTTCTTTTTCTGCTTTCTTCCAACTAAAGTAAACGCACAAAAAACAAGTAATGGGAAATGTCCCGCTGCCACACCCTACTTTGTTCCCAAGCCGTGATTGATGGCACTACAATTCCACATGGAACCCTTGTAGCTCTCACTCCATAAAGTTTGATAGCCATTTAACCTATTTTGGAGGATAATGGACATGCGTACCCCACACCCACATTTTCTTTTTTCTTTGGTCACTCTCAAGTTTCAACTAACAACCAATCTGCATTACAAAAATCAAACCCCCAAAAGTAAGCCTAAGTCACCACAACTAACTCACCATCCCTACTTTCACATTCCCTCTCCTCCTACTTTATATATATGATCTCTCTCTCCCAAAAGTTAGCCTAAGTCACCACAACTAACTTCACCATCCTTACTTTCACATCTCTCTCTCTCTCTCTCTCTCTCTCTCTCTCTCTCTCAATCCTAAATCATAACACCCACAAAATCAAGTTTATTTTTGTTTATTTGTCACCCAACATCATTTGAAGCCATGGATTGGTTCTCATGGCTGTCCAAAACTGGCCTAGAGCCCTCACTTGTTTATGAGTATGGTCTTGCTTTTGCTCACAATGAGCTGGAAGAAGAAGACATAGTCTACTTCAACCATGAGTTTCTTCAAAGCATGGGAATTTCCATAGCCAAACACAGGCTGGAGATCCTCAAGCTTGCTAGAAAAGAAAAGGGAACAAGTCCGCGTCCCATTCGAAAGCTCTTGGTGGCGATCAAGAGGACCAAGAGGTGCTTAGCTGAGTACGTAAGGACGTGGATTCGTCGCGAACAAGACGCATCAGCTCTGGCGCTTGTGACAAGGCCAAGCAATCACAGGTCAAGGTTTAGAGGCGCCATGTTGAAGAGGAACAAGAAGATAATCATGGCCAACAACCAAGGCAGCAGGTTGTTGCTCACAAATGGTAGCCCAGTGGTGGTTTCTGGGCCTCATGTCGATAGCTTTTCGAGTCCTGTGGTTTATGATCTTCAAAAGGAAGGAAAGATGGACGGTGATGATCAATATAATGATGATGGTTATTGGTCGACTGGGGTTGAAGAGATCAGGTGGGATACCATGTTCCAGGACTTGAAACCCACATGAAATTTTAGTTCCTTGTTTTTTTTTTCTTATATACTTTTTCTAATTTGGTTTTAGTTTTAGTTTTAGTTTGGTCTTCTTCCTTATTGTCATTTGTTTATTATATAAATTTAATGGTGAGAGATGGGATTTTTGGGGTTCTTCCACCAAGTGAGGATTTGGCTTTGTGCATCACAAGACTTTGCTTAGCTTTTTTGAGTGTAGGTGGGTCATGTATTTGGCAAACTTTAATAGCCAAGAGGGTCTCTCCTGCTTTTTTGTATGTCACTTGACCTTATCTTTGATTATAATTGAAAGCACTTGTAGTATTTTAGTGTTCTTGTATGATTTTGTCAGGAATGCAAAACTATAGTAAACAAGGCCATCATTTTGCATCACTGATGGTTGGTTGGTCACTTGTATCATTTTTTGTTTTTTGTGAAGATATTGAATGAAAATTGTGCTTCTTATCCTTTAAATGTCTTGGACAAATTTCCATCGTCGAAACATAAATACTCACCAACCATGAAGATTTGCTATCAACTAGATTTCTTTTTAGAATCCTCAAGACATACTGCTAAAGTAATTATGAGGATTGTGGGAACCGAATTAATTCGTAACCCTAGGTCAAATAATTCCTTCCATTTGGGGATTATTTGACCTAATTGGGAATTATTCTATTTAATTGGAGATTATCCAATTAAATAGAATATTACCTAATTAGGTTGATGATTGATTTGATTCATGCGACAATTCTCAATTAAAGGAGGAGTTACCTAATTAAATTAGGGATTGGCTTGATACCTACCACAATTAGGGATTTGATTGTTTTCCTAATAAATCAAATCCCTAATTAATCAAATCAAGTCCCAAATTGGGGAGGAATAATTCATTTCCATCTACGGAATTATTCATATGAAACCCTAGCTCCTGAGACCTCTATAAAAGGATGGCCACACACAAGGGTTGAGGTACGTCTGAAATTACTACCAAATCTCAGCAGAAATTATTTCTCACAAACCCTAGCCGCCACTCTCTCTCTTCTTTTTACACAAGGCTCCGCCCACCACTCACGGCTCCGGCCACCCGGTTTTCACCACACATACATATTCCTGTACCCTATTTTATCTATCGTTTCTCTACAGATCGATTGAACTGACTTAGGCATCGGAGGGCCTTTGGCCAACACCCCCCGGGTGTGATCCTCTTATTGCTATTCATTTTGCAGGAAGAAAGAGAAGCGGAGAAGACGAAAGAATCTGTCAACCGAATATTCCCATGGGAGGAAATTTGCTACCACAAGGACCACAACCCCTCAAAAGAAAGGGAAGGAAAAAAAAACCCTTCAACGCGAATGAGGTACCCAAGTGTTAACCAGAAAAGTCTTTTTTATTCCACCGTTACGTTCGGGACAAGCATCAAAAGAAATTACTAAGCTACATAACAGCATTTCAAAAGGCAGCCAATATGGTATTGTAGCATCAAAACAATGTAGCATTCCGTGTGGGAAATGGTTGCACATCCAAAAATCCTGCCTGAATACTTCTGAAGAGAACATATTCTTAGCTCATCGGAAACATTACATATATAAATTCTAAATACACATCAAATTCAAAATCATACCCCATCGACTTTGTTTACTAGTTACAAAAGAAACTAAATGACTCTTCTTTAATCTGCCATTTGCACACGGCCAACAAAGGCCAACTTGGGGGGCAACTCATAGCTCAAATCTCAGCAATTGCAGTATCTATAATATAGTAGATTGAAGCCGCAAATATTCCCTAGTCATCTGAATAAATTTATTGGAGCATGCTTCCACAAACGTGTATGGATTGATGTTATCAGATATTAACATCTCCAATCATTAGTGGCTTGAATTTTGAGGCAGACGGAAAGAACCCCCAGCATAAAGCATTTGGTAAACTGGTCGTACTCTAATAGTCAAAATTATGCTCAAGATTGTCCCCAAACCACAGGCGCCGGCTAAAACTAGAAATGTGAGCCTGAAACAACTAGAACCTATGCAGGTGGACCCTCCTTGCTTTGCAGCTTCAGCATCATATACATTACCAGCTAGTAGAACTGAGAAAAGTATTGCACCAATAGGATTGCCAAGTCCCATGAAGCTGTAATTTACACCAAAATGTTTCAAGCCGAAAAGTTCAGAGGAAGTTGGAACCATTATTGAATACTGAGTCCCATAGCAGATACCAAACAGAGCAGTTGCAACATAGAGAGTACCACTGAGAGCTAACGCATATAAAACGAATGATACAAGCATAAATATGTGTGCACATGCCATCCAGAATGTGCGAGGAATTGTTTTCGTTCTGCAATGTACAAAATGATATACCAAATTAGTATTATGCTATTACAAAAGAGAGTTATTCATCTATTAAAAAATATAGAGTAGAAAATGATCACATTCTCGAACAACTTGACATAAAAGTAATGCATTCAAGAAACTCGGATGTATAATTCCAATCTGCTAACCCTACAATAGAGAGAAGGAAAAAGCGGAAGAACACCCAGTAAGGGACAAGCAACCATGTTTGAAAGCTTTCTCAACAGAAAAACAAAGTTGAAGGTTAAAAGAGCACAAGTCAACCAAGTGAGTTAGCAAGATTATTAAGAATGTCATTGTAACTAAAAATCAGAACCAGAGTAGAAATAGAAGATATTGATGCCCTATCCAAAAAATATTAAGTGGTGTTGGTTATGGTACGGAACTTTGTATAACAACTTGAAAACAAGAAAGAAAAAAAAAAGTGTTTCCGGAAACAGTTAGATAGAAGTCAATGAGTAATTACCTGAGATAGTGTTCAGAAACAGCACCAGAACCCAGACGACCAACAAAATTGCAAAAGCTAAAGAGAGACAACAGTATTGTCGTATCACTAGCGCCTAATGCAATCCCAATCTGGCTCAAATTATTGAGTACTGTTACTCCTGAACCGACCCCAAGAAAATATGCAAACCAAAGAAGCCAAAAATCCGCCTTTATAAAAGCTTCATGAAACTTGAAATCCTCTCCCCTCTTAGGCCTCCTTTTCTTCTTCACTGCCCCTTCCCCAATAGCAAGAAGTGTTTCGACATCTGAAAAATCCTCAGCCTCATGAAAACTTCCAAGGTATGTAGCTGATGAGGATGGTGTCAACAAAGGATCTGCTTGGGTTGCATTGCCTTCTCCTAGAGGAAGATGGTCCGAAGATTCAGCTCGTGCCCTTGCAGGAAATAATGTCATCTTCAACGGAATTGCAAGGGGAGAAAGCAAAAGGATAACCATTATCGCAACCAAAATGTAGGAAACAGCATCACTAAGAGTTACTATCTCATTTATTACTGTGACTGTGAGAAGATAGATTGCAAGCAAAACACTGACAGTTATGGTGAAGAGAAAATGGACATGCTCCGAAGAATCTTCTCCAGAAGCTGGAGTACATGGACGAATAAAGTACATCAAGGCTAAACACAAAACAGGAATCCCAAGAGCAAGGAACAACAACAGATTCAAAGCAGATTTCTTAAGCACCATACTGTATACCACTGTAAAGACTGCAGCGCTAAGCCCAATATAGCCTTTGAGAATGCCAGCAACAGTGCCTCTACTGAGAGGGAAGTTCCTCATGTTGGTTACAAGCACAGCTGTGCCTATCCAAGCATTGCTATTTGTGGCAATGCAAAGTGTGATGCATAACTGCCATATCATTAAGAGAGAAATGTTAGAGGTCCAAATGTGAAAGCTAAAACATATATGCTGCCTCAGCTGCAACCATGTCAAAGAACGGTTATAACTATAAGGGGTGACAAGTTAAATGAATGCCAAAGTGGTGAGATAATTATTTCAACAGATTACCAGAATGCCTCTCAGATGAAAGCATGCTCGCATAGAAAAGTCTAAGTAAATCAACTGCACCACACAAAATATGCACAAAACAAGATTCTTATTGTTACAAGAAAATATGTACAACCAACCACAATGTAGTGGATATCTAATGAAATAACGTCAACCGAAAAAGACATCGAAAAATCATGTAATTTGATTGTATTTATTTAATGTGTTCTTAGGAAAAACATTTGTCCATATACAATGTACATGGAGGATGATGCTACTTGCATCGCTTCAAATTTAATCATGCAGAAGGCTCCAGAAAAAGAGGATAAGAGATATTATAGAGATTTTTTATCGCCTTAAGTGAGATTAAGATAGTACTAACAGTATAGGAAATGAGGAAATGAGGTCTGGTCATCAGTAATCAACATTTATATGACTTTATAATTCCAATTTTGAAAATTGAATCAGTTAGAAATAATGTCTTGAACTCAGGAACATATTTTGTTAAAGCAGACTGGTGGCTCCTTTTCTATCTGTATATTTTAATCAGTTTCCTATCAAACGAAAAAAGTTAGGATCATAATTCTTTTTTTTATATTTACTTCGGAACTTAGAAGAGGTTCCTGAGTATGGAGCCCAACTCAACCACAATAAAATTAGAATTCAAGAATAAGCACCAAAACAAGGTACATTCATGTCCCCGGCCTTTACTTTCCCATACTATGACACAAATATGCTCAGCTTTGTCACTCTAGCTTTGACCAAACTCATGCTTGAGTAGAAAAATGAATACGCCCCAATATTGCAGAGTCCACAGCAGTATTGTCAAGAAGTTGACTTTGAATGCAATAACTAAAACTTTTCAATGTATTGGTACTTGCATCTTAAATTGTTTTGGTGCAATAATCTTCAGGAAACATGAAGAATTCCTCCCTTTCTTGCTAAATTTTTTTCTGATATCATACATGGAAAGACACTAGAAATCATGTAACAAAATCCAGACTGAGTGAATTTGTTACTTGAAGAGTCCCATTATCAGAACACCTTAAGCCACAGCTGGTAAATAATCATCTTCAAAACAAATGCATATGACGAGGCATCAGCAATGGTTAATTATTCCAACCACAAATAACGTAGGGGAAGATTAATCACTTTTTACATCCAAAAGAAGTTGCTCCGATGAAAACTTACCCAACGATTAAAATTGCACCACCCAACTCTGGACAATATCTTAATATTAAAATTGAAATAAATCTGGTTCTCCAAACCCAATATTCCTCCTAAAGATGTCTAAGTTGTCTTTGCTAGATTTGACTAATACTTCTGCAAAGTAGCTTCCAAATCTGCACTCAACCTGCCCCTTAACAAGAGGATTCAAGTAATCAAACCATTTATACAACATGCTCTTGATTTATTAGATGATACACGCTAAGTAAAAGCACTATAAAGATGTTGATACCTACAACATGCACCGAACTAGATAGATGCATAGACTATTAGATATGAAAATTGCTGGATTTGGCAACTGAATTCTATCCTTAAGGTTTCCAGTCCTCAAATGAGCAAAGTTCTGTTAAAAAAATGCAAAGGGAAATCAACTGAACACAACGATCGCAAGGGAACATATGGCGAGGAATTTGTTCTTTAAGGAGAGGAAGCTGGAATTAATTTTCGATAGCAGGCATTGGTTTTCAGCATGTTAAGGATGTTTTTTGTTTACAGTTATTCTGCTTAGCTCCTTCAACAAAATACAATGAAATTTTTTTTTTTGACTATGTTGGTATTTCTTAATCACTGATTTAAAGAATTTCCTTTAAATTGTAGGCTACAATTGGCAGTTAAATATCACTACATTCCCTTTCAAGAGTGAAATTTAATGCTAGTTCAACATCAGATGGAATATCAGCATGCTCTAACCCAATCTCTCATGCTTCCCAAGAAACTAGATAAATCACTAGAAAGAACGGAGAAAAGTAGTAAAACTACCAAATTTGAGAAGTACTACAATTAAGAAATCATCTCAAAATTTTATAAAGGACAACCAAGACCATTGTGGCATTCTATAACTGTTGCAATCAAAATTCAAAGTTTCAGACAAGGAAATCTTTCAAGTGAATTTGCAGAAAGAAACACTTACCAGAACAACAAACTTCCTATGTGAAAATTTCAATATCCCACCAATCACAATTTCAAAATGCCAACAATCCAAAACAGAGAAATGGAGGTATAGAGATATGAACTGGGTGACTCACCACAACAAAAGGCATGCTGGCAATAGTTTGGCTAACAGCAAGCCAGAGAACACCATAACCCAAGAAGCAAAACCCACAACCAACCAAAAGCACAGCCCAAGGAGGGAACTTGTTGCAGGCAATTCCAGGAAGAAAACCCACACTCTCTCCAATGTCACTGGCCACTCCAAGTATCGTCAGCTCCTGCTGATTCAAACCCAGTACGGATTTCAGCAGAGGGGAATAGAGTGGGAAGGTAGAGGCGTTTCCAGCAGCAATTTGGGCCCAAACTGCAGCTCCCAAACCCACCCATGGCGGTCTGCTTCCAGCTTTCAAAACTGGGCTTGGCATCTTCTGTGATGCAGTTGGATGCTCTGCTATTGGTTATATATACAAAAGGGTCAGAGAGAGAGAGAGAGAGAAAAGGAAAGAAAATGTGGGAAAAGAAGGGAAACGACGACGCAGTGTGACTGTGAGAGGTTAATGGAGTTTACTCCAATCATGGAGAAAACAATGCCAATATCAAGAAGAAGGTAAAGGACCGGAGACCGGGTCGGTGTGCGAATCAAATTTAATAATAATATTCATTGTCTTTTCCATTGTTTGCATGTGTTCATTACGATCGCATAAAAGCAGTCAATTTACAGATCATCTATATTCATCAGAGGGATCACCATTTGGCCCGTGGGCTGAAATGGATAACGCGAGGCCCAATGAGTCAAAATTTGGCCCGTTATGGAGGTCCAATCGGTTTGATTCACTTTAAGAATGGATAGAATTTGGGCCAAAGGTTTGAAATTTCAGCTCAGCAGTCGATTTGAGCCCGTCTAAGCCCAGCCTAGTCCGCCTATAATAAAATAAAGGGTCATGCTAGGGATACCAAATTGGGAGACCAACTTGGGATACCAACTCTCTAATAGAGGTGGAGCCCACCAATGCAATGGGTCCCACGCTCTATTAGAGAGTTGGCTCTATTAGAGAGTTGGTATCCCAAGTTGGTCTCCCAAGTTGGTCTCCCTAACATATAATCTATAAAACAATAAAGTTGGCCCAATAATAAAAAAATAAATAACTAATATTGTAAGTAGCACTTCACGTTTCCTCTTCTCCTTCTCTTTTTTCATCCTCATCTCTTTTTGTTCTTGCCTCTTCTTCCCCTTCTCTATGGATTTCTTTTTCTTTTCTTTCTCTTTAAGTTCCTCCTTGGTCCAAACTTGAGTGAAATGAGTTATGTTCACTATTCTAACTAACTAAGGGCCCTACAATAGGAAGCTCACCTAATTTTTTTTGTTTTTCAAAGTTGAAAGATTAATTTATATAATTTAGGCGTAAAGACCGTCAACTACAATGACCAATACAAATACACTAATCACAAAGAAATAATATACAAATATAGAGGGGTTTAATGGTATCAAACTCAAAAAGAGTTGATGCACTTATTACAACACAAAAACTACAGTAAACTCAATAAAACATATGAAGAGACTCCTCAGTTCAAATATTGCCATGTGTCCTGAGGCCAAAACTGCTCTACTTGTTGCCTCATCCATTGACGTAGTTGAAATGTTGAGTTTGAATGCACATGTCTTGTTCATTAAAGATGCTCTTACACATATTCAGATTTGAGACCGTATAATTGGAATCCAATAGAAACTGCAAGATTTCCAGACCAATTTTATTTTTTCAAAAGGAAATAGAAAAGGATAGAACCTGTCAAAGGATAGAGCCCCAACAGTAGCCTATAGATTCTTCAAACCACATGTCATGCACAGAATTGTTGTCATCCCAACCGACCACACTCGATGCCCTAGATTTACTCCAGACAGCAGAGACTAGAGAATATATCAATAGAATTATGAGAGAGCCGTGCATATGTCTCCCTTCCTCAAACAAAGCTGCATACATAGTTGCCTCAAAGCACACTTCATTTCTTTAATGGAGTATTATAATTATAGATGGATGCTCTTCTTTGTCATATAAGCATTAGTGGCATCTGTGAGAGCAGATATTTTCTTCTTCAATTATAGGATGCCACGTTGAAAAGAAGAATATTTCTTAAATTAATTAATTGAACCAATTTATTTGACCAATTAATTAATAAGAGATAATATTTTAATTATAGGATATTATCTTTATTTAATAAGATAATGCCATTAATTTAGATATTATCCTAATAAGGAAATATAATCATCATCAAATTAGAAGATTTAGATCCCAATCAAATCCCTAATGGACTCAATCTCTACAATTTAGGGAAAGAATAAACTCATTCCTAATAAGAGTTTTATTCTTCACGAAACGCTAACCTCCGAGGCTCTTATAAATAGATGACTTCATTCATCATTCGAGGTAACTCTAAATCTAGCTCCGAAACCTTGCAAAAACACACAAGATCTCTATCCCCTCTCTCTCCTAGCCAGTGTGGCAACCCCTTTGTCGCCACCCACATTGCTCTCTCATCTCCATATTTTCTCCACACGGCTTCGGCCACCACACACGGCTTCGGCCACTCGGTTCTCACCCTAGAGAAATCTCCGTAGCCTTTTTTAGCTATTGTTTCGCCTAGATTCAATCGAACTAACTTAGGCATCGAAGGGCCTTTGGCCAACACCCCTAGGGTGTGGTCTATTTACTCTGGTTTTTTTTTTTTTTACAGGAATCGAGGAAGAGAGATAAAGAAGATCAAAGGGCGAAGGATCTAGAAGCAAATATTCTCTCGCGAGATTATTTGCACAAACATTTGGTGCTTTCATTGAGAGCACGAGTTATACTCAACGTGTGCTCAAGGAATCCATTCCTCCTATTTTCCAATCCACCTAAGCCTTCCAAACAACCATGGTTGGAAGCAAGAAAACAACGGGCAAGACCGCCACGATGGCTCAATCCATAACGTGCTCGGACCACCTGTTAATACCACTTTGCAAAACCCAAGGGAAGGTGTCGTATAGTAGTGTAGCTCGAAAGTCCGAGTGTTGTATCCACAAAGAGCGGTGTAAAGATAACAGAGGTGAAAAAGAACGATTATGATTGAAAAGTAGATTTATGCAAGATTTGATTTAAAGAAAATTCAATTGATTAAAACACTAAGGCATTGGGTTTCCACTTCTAACATAAGCATGCAACTCTTATTAATTTGATCCACAAAATATTTTCCAATGTAGTTGTTCAAAATAATTAAAGCTCTTTTTAATTTCCTTTAGAAGTATTCTAAACATAACTTGTACCAATGGCAACAAACTATCAAAAAATAATCTTCGTTGAAATTCTATTAATCTTTAGTAATTCTCTTCTCTTTTAAAAGCATGAAAGTTTTTACTACACAATGGAAAAAACATGATTGAACCTTTGTAGTTGTTCAAAATAATTAAAGCTCTTTTTAATTTCCTTTAGAAGTATTCTAAGCATAACTTGTACCATTGGCAACAAACTATCAAAAAATAATATTCATCAAAATTCTATTAATCTTTAGTAATTCTCTTCTCTTTTAAAAGCATGAAAGTTTTTACTACACAATGGGAAAAACATGATTGAACCCATGAAATAGATTATCAAACATTCATCAATTAATTAAAAAGAAAAATACAAATTCCATTTGAACAAAAACTACAAATTCACATTAAAGCTTAAGTTTGGATCAAATGAATAAAAATTACACACTCATATTAAAAGCTTTCTCCCTAGCCTTAGCTAGGGAGTTAGTTCCCCATAATAAAATAAAACTAAAAACAGAAATTAAAACTTAGAAAGATGGAGGGAAGAGAGAAAGCTCAAGAGTTGTGGAGCTTGGTTGTGTTTGAAGGCTTGTAGAGCTTCCTATTGATAGCCTTAAATCTCAACAACAACAATCACTAGGGAAATATTAAAATCTGAAATTCTTATCCCTTTCAATGCAAAATCGTAGCCAATCTCTTCATTGTTTCTTCTTTGGCATGGGTGCCATCCCTCTTTCTTTTCTTTATGTTTCTCTGCTCATTACTTGTAGGCATATTGGCATTTGAATTTCATATCTTGTGTCAGCCAACAACATGCTTTATACTTCTTTTGCTGTGGTAAATCATGTGACTTTGCTGCTGCACACATGGTTGCTGTCCAAAGTTGCTGACTGCTATCTTTTTGGTTGGTTGCAATCATTCCTTTAGGTTGCTGGAAAAAGGAATTCTTCTTGCACCAGGCTTGGTGTAGGATGGCCACAGGTTTTAATATGTATCCAATGGAGTTCAAATTTGGATATGTTATAATAGACACCCATTTGACCAACTTTCATGAAGACTGTATTCCCATCTGAGTAGTAAAAACGTGCATTTTGGGGCTTGCAAGTTGGCCTCCGAAAATGGACTGGAGTTTGGGCTTCATTTCTTCTCTCCTTGGGCTGCTTGCAAAGAGAGAGCTACCTAATAGAAAATTCAACTGAATTAGCCTTTATTTCAATGAAGTGCAAATGGATTTGTAAAATGCAATGTAACATTCTAATTGGTTCAAAATTCATTGAAACAAAGTACTAACAAATATAAATTAGGGATAGAAATTGTAATAATTATGTGTTTATCACCACCATGACGTCGTGGCTCCGAGACAATCCCACGCCACAGCCGAGACAGTGGCACGCCCTCACGGCACCGCAACTGCCACTACATCCACCGTAGCTTCCATCCCTCCTCCTCCTCTTAGTCTCGTGACCAGGAACACCATCTTGACGCACGCCGCTGCACTACAACAACAAGCCCCCTTTGCTGGAAGTGCGGCACAACCTCCTGGACACCTTGCTGCCACCACCGCTGCTACGCAACCTCATTGAATCGGCAGTAACGTCCATCATGGCCTAGTGGCCGGTACCTTTTTGCAGCCACATGGCCAAATGGCCGGATCTAGCCGCCTTCATGGTGCCACCGCCGAGCATGGTAGAACCTCCCATCAAGGTGGACTCACTACCATCACCGACTTTGGCCTGATCTTGGACCAACTTCAATCATTCCCTCCATTGCCTCCGCGCTTGACGTACGCCCTTGCGTACACCTCTAACGAAACCCTACCCGTGTGCAATTGGGCTCCACACAATTCTCTCCTCCGGGTCCACGAAGTCAAGTAGACCTTAATATGAGAGTTGACCAACTACCTCAGAGAATGGACAACCAAAACGACTTAGTGAGGTAGCTCCTCATCCAAATAAACTTGGCTCAAAACCTTGGCCTTGGACAATAGGGCTAAGAGAGAAAGATGGATGAACGAGCCAGTGGGCAGTTCAATGGGTACCAAGCAGGTCGAGCAAGAGTAAGCAGGCAGGAAGAGGGACAACAACGCGGTCGATTTGTCGACATGTCACAAGCGTTTGCAAGCCACACTCAGAGCAGATGAAGTCTCCCATCTAGATTGAGTTCAGGGACGAACGAGCGAGAAATACCTCTTTCATCATCGAAAAGGGTACATACTGCCACAATGTCATGCCCCTTGGACTGAAGAATGCCGGAGCAACCTACCAAAGACTAGTAAACAAAATTTTTAAGGAGCAAATCGAAAAGACTATGGAGGTTTATTTAGACGACATACTAGTCAAAGCTCCCCAGCGAGTAGACCAAATCAAAAACCTTGCCGAGACATTCAGCTTACTCCGAAAATACAACATAAAGTTG